TATATGTGTGTGTGTGTGTGTGTGTGTGTGTGTATGTATATGTATATATATATGACCTTGTCTTTCTTCTGCTTTAGCACCTGACCTGACTCTAGGCTTTTCAAGTTCTTTTTCCACTCTTGGATCTTTGCAAGTAGTATTTCCTCTTCCCAAACACCATTAGCATCTTTACCAAGCCAGCTTCTGCTTATGCGTGAGGTTTCATGTAAAAAACATCATTTTTTTCAGAGGAGATTTCAATGATCCTGTCTGGTTTAGAGCCTGCGTTCCAAGAGCACATTGTACGTCTCTTCTCACGGTACTTGTAGAATATGTTTTAAATCCTGCTTTCTGGTTTTTCCAAGATAGCAAAAGCCATGAAATTGTGGCTTCCTGTCATTTGCCCTTAACTGAGTGTTCAGAATGTTTTATGGATTCAATAAATACGTGTTAAATGAAAGGATAAAGAATGATCCTTAGCCTCACAGTTTCAATAAGTTATGCATCGATTTTCTTAACTAGCCTTCTGTAATGATAAAATTAAATTCAATATTAATGATTAGTTTCCTATATAAGTTAATCTTCATCATTTAAAAAAGAAAATAACAGAAATTAAAAATCAAAGGCGTTATTGGCTCAGGGAAAAAGAAAAACAGTAATATAAATTCAATTCAGTAAGATAATACTGAAATTTTATAATAAAGTGTTCTTATTTAATGGAGGAATCTTTTGAAAACGCTCTATACCCAATAGCATGTTCGACACTGTAGTATTTACAAAAAAAAAAAAAGTTTTTGTAGCCATTTGTATCACATTATTTTACTGTATCTGCTGTGACTACCCTGGGCTCTTCTGTCTCCTGACTTACCAAGAAATGTTCTTTTCTTTGAGTTTCAAACCGCTTGTTCCTCTTACCTGAAAGGCTCCCCCACCCTGCCTGGTCATTTCATTCAAGCATTTGCCCTGGTGTGATCAGGTCGAGACCTACCCACCCCACCTCTGTGGGTCGTGCCTTGACCCTCCGAGAGCTACCACGCTTCCGCACCGGCCTTCTGCAGCAGTAGCCGTCTTCAGACAGGCTGTGTGACTTCCGTTTATGTTCTCTCTGCGCTGTCTGTCTAACCCTGCGTACTTCTCCAGCGGGGCCAGGGTTGTCGTCCTCCTTCAGTGACACCTCTCGTATATTTGGAAGAAATCCTCACCAATCCAAGAGCAAGTGCTCATTTCGTGTTTGTAGAACGAAAGAAACTGTAATGAGCTTGTGGGCATAATAATTTGTAATTATTATAAGAAGCCAGTATATGATTAATTCCCGGAGCAAATCATATTAATTTAACACCCTGAAGACTTTTTTTCCTCCAGTGGAACATTCCTAGTGCATGAGAAATCTGTAGCTCTCACTTCCTGCTCTTTCCTCCTTTTACCTACCATATTGTAACTACAGATTGTTATATTAGGGATGCGTTTTAGCGCTTATTACAGTTTATCTAATTCCTTTAAATTCATTATAATTTTCAAATAAAAGACCACGCTTAAAATACCCAGTTATTCCTGTATTATGTTGATGTATGTACAGACATGTATACAAATACACTGTATTGGAAATACTTTTATTTGGCTCAGGATGTTCATCTTGCCATTATAATGAAGTAAATTATTTATAAACAATGGCAAAACATACTTATCAAAATAGTAACTATTGAAACTTCATATAGTCGCTTTGTCTTTTCCTCTTTTCCTTTCTTCTTTTTTAAATAATTCCTCTTCCACTTCTACCTGTTTTTTCTTGCAAGAACAAATGATGATTTTGATATTTGTTCTCCTCATGTCATTTCTTTCTAAAGAAGGGAAATTCCTGTGTGTGTGTGTGTGTGTGTGTGTGTGTATAGCCTAGCTTCATTTCCATATTAAAAAGTGAGTATGAATATTTACACAAAATAAAGTTACACTTTGAAATTTTAGACATTTGTGACTAAATGAAATCAGCTAAGTGAATCATCTGTTTCTAATTAATAAAATCAAATGATGGCAACAGCCTTCTATCTAACATTTATTTCTCATATTCATTTTTGTTAATTTGCATTTTACTTAATGAACAGCCTGAGTCTTTTAATAGTAATAGTTGTGCTGTAGTATCCTATTTCTGTTTGTTAGCTGGGCTGCTAAGATTTGAAATGAGAAATATTTATCCACTTACTTCTCACTTTATAAATACTGTATTTGTCTTGGCCAAAACATGGTTGCCACCTGTTCTACCTATAGGAAGCCAAAAATGTCTACTCCAACCAATGATTAATAATGATAAGCAGAAGGAAAAAAAGATTGAAATTCTTCTTGGACAGTCATATTTTACTCAAAATAAGCAAATAGCATTCGATCATGAATTTTTATTGAATTAATTAAACTTTAAAAATAATTTTAGAACTATTTGAAAAATTCAATAGTAATATTTTGGGAATAAAGACTCAAAATTCCAAGTTGACATAAATGAAATCACATGGTCTCCAGTAACATGCTTTGTTTTTAATGGAGAAAATGGTAGATGACATGCGATCATCTTGAGAGAATGAATCATACAAAATATCCACTGAAATTCTGCTTTTCATAGCTGTCAGAAGTATGTAGAAGTCACAGTGGAAATGGCTTAAGCTTCTGAGTGAATAACATCAAGGTAGATATATGTAATAAAAACTGGAGTTCATCTTTTTATCAGATTCCTTCCAGTCTCTGAAAAAGGTCAGTA